AAACCCACCAGCTACTCCTCGGAAGGAAGGTTGGGCAATCCTACTTCTGTAGTGATACTGCCTCGGAAACCCAAGGAGGGGTCTCTATGAGTCAGGGCCAACTCAACAGCACATAACAACAACAGGGCCTATACCACACTTGGAGAACCCCTACCACATTTCTGTCCCTAGCCCTCTAGTTAGTTTCAGGTTCTAATTTTTGTTTGTTTTTCTTAATTACCCAGCATTTTGTTTGTTTGTTTGAAGGTGTTTTGTTTTGTTTTGTTTTTCTGATGTCTTATATTGATAAAAAGTGATTGAGATGTAATTAACCAGAGAAACTAAATAAGTCGAGAACCTTAGTTAAGAATGACAGTGCCTATCAATCATTTTTCCCTGATCTATTTGACTGTATCCTAAAATGAAGTCTGCTTCTCTTTGACCCTTGTATTTCCCTTGAAAAGAAGGCCAAGTAAAATTTTACAGGTACCTCGATTCAGACATGGCTTCATGATCTCTACCTTTGGCTGACCTTAAATATAATTGATAACTGTATTTTTTGTTTGTTTTCATATACCCCTAATGTCAATTATACCTCTTTGATAAAAGATACTAAGGAATAAACTCACTGTCGTCGAATCGGATTTGACTCATAGTGACCCCTTGTTGGGTTTCCAAGGTGGTATCACTATGGAAGTAGATTGCCCCATCTTCCTTCCGAAGAGTGGCTGATGGGTATGAACTGCCAACCTTCTGGTTACCAGTCAAATGCCTTAGACACTAAGCTACCAGAGCTCCTACTAAGGAATAGGAATTTATTTTCAAGTTCAAATCTCATTTGTTTGTTTATATTTCCTGCTTTCAAAAGCAGTTGTAGGTCCTTGTTCTAATCTATATGGATCTGTTTTTTCAAATCCATTCATCTTATCTGATATTTGTTGAGTTCATTGTCTATTGGCAAACAGCCTAGAGAAGCCAAGCCCTTCTGGCCCATATTTTCCATGATAGCATGCAACAGCCTTCGGGTAAGAAACTAGAAGGCCAGTTTTCTTCTCAGGTGAAACACCAAAAACATTCCAAATACCCTTATATATTCTAAACAAATATTAAACAAGATTAGATACTGATAAGCTCTCTGATATAAGTTCTCTTTACTCACATTTCCACCAGTCAATCTAAAAGCATTATAGACCACACCAGAGCACTACAATGCTCTGTTTCTTCACATCTTTTCAATTACGGATAGGACAAGAGCAAGGCATGCATCTATTTTAATTTTGATTAAAGAAATCTGAAACTTACCAGATCTTGTATTAACTTTTCCAGTGTAACACACTGAAAGGAATGGACTTTAGCAAAGAAAAAGTCATAGTCTTTAATTTGACCATTGTATTTCTAAAAGCCATGAACTTTCAATGTGTAATTTTATAAAAATGACTCACTAACTCAATTTCCTATTTTCCTGAAAGCAGTATTATTTTCAGGGTTTCAAGTGAGAAATAGCTTTTAAATACAAAAGTATAGCTTAACTTTAATAGACTATATTTGTACACTTACAAGAAAATATATTACTTCACTAATACCATACACATCAAATATCAAAAATTAGAGTGACTATTAAATACATTTTATTTCAGGCCACTTGCAAACGAGATCATAGACTTGAAATGTTGAAAACTCGTCGCTGCTACTTGGAAAAGAAAAGGGAGGAGGAATTGAAGCAGTTTGATCGCAATACTAATTGGCTCCATTGTGTTGAAAATGAAATAAGCTTCTTAGGTCAAAATGGTCATACTCCAAAGGTACAGATGTCCAGATTATTTTGTAAGAACTAAACTCTTCAACTCTATTCTCTTTATTGTTTAGTAAATATCTTTCATAAAACTACTATGGCCCTATCTCTGTGAGCCTTAAGGACTTATTTGTTTATAATTGAGTGTATCTTCTGCTTCACAAATTACCTTCAGTTTAGCCTTTTTTCTAAATCAGAAAAGTAAAGAAATGTTATTTTTAAGTGATTGCATTACTTTGTGAGGTAGCACCTTTAAATTAGAATAAACTCTATTTCAAATTACATTTGAGGATTTGTCATGTAGCTCATTCTGAATGTGGTCACCATTAATTTTACTATGATTCAAAAGAGCTGAATTCGAAAGCTCTGTGTATGTGCTGTGCTTAAGATATTCTACCTAGAATTGCAATAAGATGATATTTGTAAAGGAGAGGCATTGGTAATGGTGGTTAATAAATACGTTACATTGGAATTGTGTTCAGTTAGAAGATTACAGAAATCTGAGTTTAGTACCTTAACCAGATAAGGCTTTATTTTACTCCCATGACAATATAATGTCTCCCCAATGTCATCAGTGTCATTATTATGCTTTTTATTTCAAGATTGTAATATTACTATTCCATCTCTTGTCTCTAGTTCACACCTAGGCCAGAAGAGGAAGAAAAAAAGGGGGAACAATATTTGTATCAGGAGAACAAAAACTTTTTCAGAAATTTCTGTTGTTGTTTTTGTTATGTGCCATCAAGTCGGACCCAACTCATAGCGACCCCTCCTTGGGTTTCTGAGGCGGTATCACTATGGAAGTAGATTGCCCAGCCTTCCTTCCGAGGAGCAGCTGATGGGTTTGAACCACCAGCCTTCTAGTTAGCTGTCAAATGTCGTAGGCACTATGCCACCAGAGCTCCTCAGAAATTTCTAGCAGATATATATCTTATTGGCTAAAACTAAATGACCTTGCTATCCTAGGGACAGTGGAGTACGGGAAAGTGTGTGTGTTTTCAGTGGACACATAATCACTGTGAACAAAGTTAGAGTTACCTTCATAAGGGAAAAGGAGACAGTGTATATTCAGGGAACAAAAAAAAAGAAAGAGAGAGGATAGGCAACTAGAAAGTAATAGCTACAAGTTATTTGGTTGACAACCCTAGTATTTAACAAATTTATTTTTCCTCTTTTTCTAAAAATAAGAATGTATAAATTCTGTACCTTGTTTGTTAATGCTCTATTTTATTTATTTATTTAGCTTTTTTCAAACTATGCTTTAAAACACCCAAGCCTTCATATTGTCAGTCTTTCCAGTCTGTACCTGGGCTCCCTAAGGTGATGGCCTCAAAATATCACTGAATTTCATGCAGAAATCTTAATTGGGCCAGATGCTCTTCTAAAATGCTATGCTATGTATCAGCAAATTGGTACCTAGCTTGCTGGAATCTTCAAATTTCTAAAAGTACACCAGACCCAAAATACATGGAGATGAAATAAAATATTTAAAAATTAGTAATAAATGCAGCTAGTGATCTTTAGTATTCAAAGATACTGTTTTGTTTTGTTTTTTTAAAATATAATTCAAGGATCTTAGCAAATGCATCATGACTAGGAGAATGGATTCTCTGACAGACTAGGAGTAGATGTAAATCATTTTAGCATTAAAGCTCATACTAGAAAGAGAAAAAAACTAGATTGTCTATGATAACGGTTCTAAATAGTGCAAGGGGCAGCAAGCAGTATATTACCGTTTCTTCAGAAGAAAACTAAAGACGAATAGAGACAGAAAAGTTCTCCAGTGTTGATACTTACTGAAGTCTTCCAACAACAAATTCTACACCTCAGTAATTCTAGAAATCTTCAATATATCTTGCTGAAAGCATGCTAGTTAGTACAGTAGATTATGATGTTAGAATAATCTGGTAATATTTCATAATAGAATAACTTAATTTATAAAGCACTTAAATATTCTCTACAGATAGAATGAAAATATTGGAAAGAACATGCACTTTGATAAGGAGTGAATATTTGGTTATTCTGGTACTTGGTGTTTGTTTTGAATATCAATTCTAATACTAATTATATATAAATATATATTAATAAAACAACTTTGGACAAGTTGTTTAACTTCTTTGCCTCAATTTCCCATCTATAAAATATAGTTAAGGCATTATAAGGTTAAATGAAATACTATATGTAAAGGCCTAACAACATTTAACACATGATGGTTTAATAATATGCTAAGGTATATTAACTTAGACATCAACAGCTAAAGCAAGTTCTATAACAAAGGAACAAAAAACAGTTAGCTGCATGATAATAGTACATTCTCAGTTTTTCATCCAGAACACTGATCCTGACTTTTTGTTGAGGTTGTAGACACCTTAAAAAAAATCTGATCAAAGCTACCAGTCCTCTCTCAGATGAAAGACTGAGGAGGATTAGATTATTATAATTTTGTGTTTCTTTTTGTTGTTGTTGTTCCCTGAATAACAGAAGAAACGAAATTATACAAATATGTGCAAATTAATACACTGTACGACTAGTGTGTGTCAGACTCAAAAGCAACATCAAAAATTCCTTACAGACAATGAACATTAAGAAGATTCTCAATTCAGTAACCTAATTATACAACTTAAGGAGCTAGACAAAGAGAGCAAACTAAACACAAAGCTACCAGAAGGAATGAAATAGCAAAGATCAGAGCAGGGTTAAATGAAATACAAAATAGTAAAACAGTACAGACTCAGTAAAATCAGAAGTAGTTAGTTCTCTGAAATGATCAATCAAATAAAAAAAAAAGTTAGCTAAACTGACAAGAAAAAAAGAGAGAAGGTGCAAATAACTAAGTCAGAAATGACAGAATTTTTACTACCATCCCTACAGAGACAAAAATGATCGTAAGCAAATAATATAAATAGTTGAAAATAGATCTTATAAAAATTCCTTAGACTTTTGACTTTTACTATTTTTAAAAGAATCTGATTATATTGTTTCCCCAGGAACTCAAAAAAGATCTTCGATATCACCATTTACACCTACAAACCAAAGATTTGAAAGCACAAATTAAGCATATGATGGATCTAGCTAGTCTTCAGGAACAGCAATATAGGCAGACTGAGATGTAAGTACATAGATTTACCTATTCCACAAGGTATAGCATTGTAGACCCAAGATACTTTTGAAGCATAGAAATACTTCTTTTAACTGCTCTAACATTGAGGTTTTTCTGGTATGGCATACATTATTTTCATTATTTTTAATGATCTGCCAGCATCAAAGAATATGGGGAAAAAAGGTGTGGGGGGGGAGAGTGTATATATATATGTATGGTTCTTTCCTTCCAAATAATTTTTTACAATTGCTTTATATGTTTTAATAAATACCCCAGAATAATGTAGAATATACAGGGGACAAAGTTCTAAAAACTTCTTAGCCATAACCAGATACTTTGAGGGAATAATTCACTGGGCTTGGAGACTAGGACCACAGTCTCAGGAGACTTCTAGGTCACTTGGCATAACAGTCTACAAAAACAGTGTTGTACTGTCCTACAGTAGTGACTGGGGTCTTAAAAGCTTTCATGCAGATGTCTGAGATTCAACTATTACTAGTCTTCTCTCATCTGAGCAGAACAAAGAAAATCAAAGACTCAAGGAAACATTTACTCCAAAGAAGTAATAGACCATGTGAACCACAGCCTCCAGTACACTGAGACCAGAAGAACTAGATGGTGCCCAGCTACCACTACTGACTGTTCTGATCAGGATCACAATAGAAGGTCCTGGACAGAAAGAGAGAAAGAAAATGTAGAACAGAATTCAAAACCATAAGAAACAGCAGACTTACTGGTCTGATAAAGACTGGTAGAACTCAAGACTCTGGTTCTTAGACAGCTTTCTAGCCTAAAACTGAATCCACCCCAGGAATCAACTCTCAGCAATAGACAGGTCTATAAAGTGAATAATAACACCACGGAGTAATGTACTCCAGAGTATAGTCAACCATATGAGACCAAAAGGGCAACCTTTGCTATTAAACAAAGCTTAGAAGGCAAGAATGTGCAAGAAAAGATGAATGGACATGGGGAACCCAGGGTTGAAGGGAGGAAAACTGCTATTACATTGAGAGGCTTACAACCAATATTACAGAACAAAATATGTATAAGTTGTTGACTATAAAGTTAATTTGCTCTGTAAAATTTCACCCAAACTACAATTTAAAAATAAATAGATAAAAGATAGGTATGCTGAGCAAATAATCTGAGAAGCTGGACCAAAAAAAGAGTGAAGCATCAGGTTTGGAGGAAGATTCATTAACAGCGTGCAAAATGCATATGACACAGCCTTTTTCTCTGAAAGCAGAGGATTTGAAGCACTTGATGGTGAAAATCAAAGATGATAGCCTTCACATTACTGTTGGATTACTCTTCAACATAAAGAAAACAAAACTTACAACTAGACCAAGAAGGAACATCATGATAAACTAAGAAAATACTGAATGTGTCAAAGATTTCGTTTTACTTGGATCTTGTAACACCCATGGAACCCATGGAGCAAATAAAATGACATATTGCATTGGGCAAATCTACTGCAAAAGACCACTTTAAAGTGTTGAAAAGCACAGATGTCACTTTGAGATCTAAGGTTCGCCTGTTCCAAGCCATGGTATTTTCTGTCTTCTCATATGTGAACATTGTGTGTGAACATTGGACAATTAATCAGGAAGACTGAAGAAGAACTGATGCATTTGAATTATGGTGTTAGCAAAGAATATTGGATATAGTATGGACTGCCAGAAGAACAAACAAATCTGTTTTAGAAGTACTGCCAGAATGCTGCTTAGAGGTGAGGATGGCAAGACTTTGTCTCATGTCCTTTGGACATGTTATCAGGAAGGATCAGTCCCGGGAGAAGAAAATCATGCTTGATAAAGGGCCCCAGCATAAAAGAGGAAACCCTCAATGAAATGGATTGACACAGGAACTGCTGCAATAGGCTGAAACATAGCAATGACTGTGAAGATGGCACAGGACCAAGCATTGTTTCATTTTGTTATTCGTAGGGTCACTATTAAGTCAGAACTAGTCAGTTGACAGCACCTAATGACAACATTGTTTTGAAAGCATTTTTCTTTAAAAAAAGAAACTACTATTTTTTATATAATATATGCCACATAATCCAAAATTGAAAAGGTATACAGTGAAAATGTGTTTTCTAGTTCTGTCCTCTAGCTGCCTCCCGTTTTAGAGATAATTACCATTAATACTAGCTAAATAGGTGATTTCTAAGCATTCATAACTCCTGAATGGTTTTTTACTATCATTAAATTGAAGTTATTGGAAAAGTGTAATTTTTAACATTGTTGTTGTAAATGTGCCATCGAGTTGGACCCGACTCATAGCGACCCCTCCTTGGGTTTCTGAGACAGTATCACTATGGAAGTAGATTGCCCAATCTTCCTTCCAAGGAGTTGCTGGTGGGTTTGAACCACCAACCTTCTGGTTAGCAGTCAAGTGCCTTAGGCACTATACTACCAGAGCTCCTCTTTTTAACACTTGTTGTTGTTATTTGCATCCCAAATTTTAGTGTGATACTGTAATATTTATGGTCTCTTTTCTGATTTTTCATTTTTACAGAGGATAAGAATGAAGCCCAAGGAGTTAACTGATTTATCCAAGGTGACAAAAATAAAGATTAGGTAGTTGGATTTTTGAAACAATAGAAAAACCTAAAAGGAAAGATGTCACTTTGAGGACTAAGGTGTGCCTCACTTCAGCCATAGTGTTTTCAGTCTCCTCGTATGTATGGAAGAGCTAGATCATGAATAAGGAAGACCAAAGGAGAATTGATGCATTTGAATTATAGTGTTGACTAAGAATGTTAAATATACAGTAGACTGCTAGAAGAATGAACAAATCTGTCTTGGAAGAAGTATAGCCAGAATGTTTCTCAGAAGCAAGCGTGATGAGATGTTATCTCACATAGTATGTGCCTTACGCACTACACCACCAGAGGGTCAGCTAAAAAAAGGAAGGCCCTTAACAAGATGAATTGAAACAGTGTCAGCAACAATGAACCCAAACATGGCAACAAGTGTAGATGTTGTGGGACAGGGGAGTGTTTTGTTCTGTACTACATAGGACCATTAAGAGTTAGAACTGACTAAACGGTACCTAACAACAACAAAGGACTTTTTTCCACATCTAAAATTTATTAGTCTTCTACTTGTGTTCTTAAATAACTGATTATTTTTGTGCTTAGATTTAGAGGAAACCAAAAAATAGCCATTTTGAAAAAGAATAAGAAAAAGAAAAATTTCAGGGAGATGTTCTTGTATGCATGGAAGCTCAGCCTTATCTCTCCATGCTTTCTGTATCTATACCTAGAACTAACACTGAAAATTTATTTACTAGTAATCAAACCACTTGCAAGACCCAAAGTCATTAAACATTAATTAGTTTTAACTATACTATATTTGCTATAACAGATGAATAAAATAATACATTTAAGACAAATTTTTACCTCAAAAATGGGATAAAAAGAATTCTAACTCTTAATCATTTAGAGAAAGGGGGACTCAGAGCATTACAGAGGTAATATGGCCTAATAGAGTTTGAGTTTTAGAATTGGTCAAGAGCTTGAGTTATAGCTTATATTAACAATATAACCTTGCCTAAATTATTTAACCTTGCTAGGAGCTCTGGTGGAGTAGTGCCTAAGGGCATTTGACTGCTAACCAGAAGGCTGGAGGTTCAAACTCACCAGCCACTCCTTGGAAGGAAAATTGGGCAATCTACTTCCATAGAGATACACCTCAGAAACCCAAGGAGGGGTCACTATGAGTCAAATCTGACTCGATGGCATGACTGATTAAGCCTTAGTAAGAGATCATAATACTTAAAAAGGTTTTGGAAGAATTAAATGACACAAGTAAATCACATGATATAGTATTTATGCCAGCTTTCCCAAAACAACCCTCTAGGTTTAATGATTCACTAGGAGGTCTCACAGTACTCAGAATATAGGCATACAGCTATGATTTATTATTTGTTATAGCAGAAGGATACAAAGGGAAATCAGTAAAAAGAAAAGGTACATAGGGCAAAATCTGGAGAAAAACAATCAAGCTTCCTAGTTTTCTCCCAGTTGAGTCACATAGGAGGATGCACTTAATTCCCCTAGCAACATGTATAACATCACGTGTAAAGTGCTGTCTACAAGGTAAGCTCATTAGAAACTAATACCACAGATTTAATATGGGTATAACATTATTTAATCTGGTATCACATAAATACCCTTTGCCTAGCACATACCAACATTTCCAGACTTTTGGAAGGGAAGCAGATGTTCAGCATAAACCACATCATTTCTATTAACAATTTAAGCACACTGAGTAACACTGTCAGTTCTGAGAATGATGGGAACCTTTCTAAATTCCAAGTTTCCAGACACCAGCCAAGAGCCAACTTTGCAATCATGCGTTTGTAAGGATAGTAGGGGCAGACCTCCTGTATAAAACTCTTTTCTGCCTAGTAACTAATTATTGGAAATACACAGTAAATAATTATCCTTACTGACTTTCTGATTAATGACTCTTTCCCTATATTCATTACTAACTTGCCTTAATTGGAATAATTGCCCCCTCCAAAACAGATCAAAATTACTTATTTGTTGTTTTTTTGTGTGTGATCCAGCAGATTCTGACTCATAGCGACCCTATAGTACAGAGTAGATCTTCTTCATAAGGTTTCCAAGACTGGCAATCTTTACAGAAGCAGACTGCTTCAACTTTCTCCTGAGGAGGAACTGGTGGATTCAAACCACCATCTTTTTGGTTAGCAGCCAAACGCTTTAACAGTATACTACCAGGGTGCCTTTCTGACTCATTGTACACTTATATGACAAAGCAAAAACTGTCCCATAGGATTTCCTATGCTGTAGTCTTTATGGGCATCAGGATTGGAGGAAGATTCATTAACAGCCTGCTATAAGCAGGTAACACAGCCTTGCTTGCTGAAAGTGAAGAAGATTTTAAGCACTTGATGAACATCCAAGACTACTGCCTTCAATATGGATTACACCTCAGGATAAAGACAAAAATCTTCACAATTGGAACAATAAGCAATATCACAATAAATGGAGAGAAGATTGAAGTTGTGAGGAATTTCATTTTACTTGGATCCACAATTAGTACTCATGGAAGCAGCAATCAAAAATTCTGACAGTGTATTGCACTGGGCAAATATGCTGCAAAAGATCTCTTTAAAGTGTTAAAGAGCAAAGATGTCACTTTGAAGACTAAGGTGCACCTGACCCAAGGCATAGTATTTTTAGTAGTCTCACATAGATGTGAAAGCTGGACAGTAAGTGTGGTAGTTAAAGTTGTGTGTCATCTCTGCTAGGGCTGGTTGAGTGTCTGGACAGCTGTGATAATTATTCCCCATGATGAGACTGGCAATCAACTCCATGGTGGAATCTACTGTGAGCAGCTGAATAGCTGCCTTAGGGACGTGATCTGCTTCCTGTGTATAAGGAACAGTCTTTACCTTATGGTATGATTGAACCCTGCGTGTTGCCGAGTCGTCGTTCAGTAGCCTCCCACGCTCTCCCAATCCTGGGACTTTCAATGGACTTGAATTAATGGCCTCTGTGTGGTTTGGTAATATCAGGAATGTGCCTTGTTACTTGTCAACCTTGGGTTTGTCAGCCTAGCAGCCAGCAGCTGAGTGAAGAAATGCCTCTAGCTTCAGTGGGCAGGAGCAAGAAGCAGAGCTGAAAGCCCAAGGTCACAGGGCTTTCCCTAGCCCCTAGAGCCTGGCACTTGGAACTCAGACTTCGAGCCTCTGAAAATTGTAAGAATAAACTCCTGTTTGTTCAAGCCATTCCCATTTGTGGTATTTTCTGTTAGAGCAACACAGAAGTAACCAAAAAACTGGTATCTAAATATTTAACACAGATACTAAAGTGTTCATTTCCTTGTGTGATAAACATAATGCTATTATTTTCCTGCTAACTTATCCATACATAGTTCAAATGGTTCTCTTCTGGATTTTATGAGTAAAGTGTTATATATTATATTCACCGCTTCAGTGTATAGGGACTGAATCCTCTAAAGATTCATGGTTTTTGGTGTCTTCTTTGATATTAAATTTAGGAACCATTTGTTGACTGTATAAGTTTTGAGCTGTTTAGCTGTGACTTCATTTCTGCAGTGAAAGCTTACATGGAGGTCTAATACATGAAAAGATAAACTTAGTGTACTACTTTGATTGACAGGATAGAGAAGGTTTTAAGTTAGAGCTAAGAATACTGTTCCCCAACCATTCCCTCTATCTACCAGCCCTGTCTAGAAATTTCCTCAAAATTCCACTGAATCCCTTTCTGAAAGCCATTGGTTTAGGTTGTGAAGAAGTACCTTAAAGGAGAGTTGGATTTTTTATATGAATTTAATTTACTTAATCATCAAAACAGTTCTCTCAAATAAGTAAAGCAAATGACTGTCAAGTGTTTTGCCTTTTCACAGAAGAAGAAGCCACTTTGAGCTTTATCGAAGGTCAGGTAAAAGTGTAAAAGAACAAGCTGAGACTAGTGCCTGTAATTTGTATCCCAGATTCTTTCCACTCTGTTCTTAATACTTTAAAAATATACGAAGGTATTTGATTATAAACCATACTTTAAAACATGGGGAATCATTTTAATGATCCACTCATACTTTGAGTGATATTTAGAGTAACTAAAATAATGTAGTTTCCAATCTCTTTTTTTTTCTTGTCCTTTTCTGTATATAGAGTATTGAATACTTTACTTCCAGCCTTCAGAAAACAGTATTGTGCATTAAAAGAAGCTGGTCTGTCAAATGCTGCTTTTGAGTCTGAGTTCAAAGCAATTCAACATTTAGTTGAGAGGAAAAAAATGGTGGCTTGGGCTGACCAAACTACTGAACATCCACAGCAAAAGAGTCTATCGTGGGTTTCTGTTCTTATGACCTTTCCACAACTTGGACCAGTTCAGTCTGCTTGTTGTAAGTATGGATTTTGTGTTATCAAGTAAATACTAACATTATTTCTAAAGAGTAGGCTCCTTTATGCACCAATCTACAAAGCAGTTAATTTTTTTTTTTTTTAATAGATTTGGTTGCTCTTTATAAGTAATGAGGAAATTAGCTTCAAAATCATTTAATTTAACCAATATCTTCCAGGGATCTCTGAACAAATGTGCATTGATATTCTAAGTAACTCTAGCAATAAAACCTTGAAAAGTTATTTTCCCCATTTTATTTCTCATCTTTCTATAAAATTTAACTTCTACCAAGATGGATAATGATAATTGAGAATATTGTATAATTAATAATACATTCCTAACTTCAATTAAAAGTATAGAATTTACTATATATTTATTAATAGATCACTTGATATCTCTCTCATACAGGGGTGCATGTTGTTGTATTGCTAGGTGCTATCAAGTCACCTTCAACTAATAGGGGCCTATGTGCAACAGACAGGAACACTACCCAGTCCTGCACCATCCTCACAATCCTGTGCTTGAGTTCATCATTGCAGCCACTATGTCAGTCCATCTCGTTGAGGGTTTTCCCCTCTTACGCTGACCCGTTACTTAACCCTTTTTTACACCCTTCTTGATTTTAAAATATACAGTATCCCCTTGTTCTTTTTGAATGGCACCTTCATCTTTGTGCAGGTTACTTATGAGTACATGTTCTGGAATTCCCTTTCTTTACAATGTTATCCATAATTTATTATGATGCACACAATCAAATGTCTTTGCATAGTCACTAAAACACAGGTAAACATCTTTCTGGTATTCTTAGTTTTCAAACAAGATCAATCTGACATCAGCCATGATATTCCTCATTCCACATGCTCTTGTGAATCTAACTTGAATTTCTGGCAGTTCCCTGTCAATATACTGCTGCAAATGTTTTTTTAATTATCTTCAGCAAGATTTTACTTGTCTATGATATGTTTGATATTATTTGATAATTTCCACATTCTATTGGATAATCTTTCCTTGGAATAGGCGCAGATGTCAGTCTTTCCAGTCAGATGGCCAGGTAACTAGCTGTCTTCCAAATTTCATGGCATATATGATTAAGCTCCTCTAGCACTGCATGCATTTGGTTAAACATCTCAGCTGCTATGCCACCAATTCCTGGATCCTTGTTTTTCACCAGTTCCTTCAGTACAGCTTGGACTTCTGCCTTCAATACCATTGGTTCTTCATTGTATGCTTCCTCCTCAAATGATTGAATATCAGCCCGTTGTTTTTAGTACAGTGATTGTATGCCTTCCATCTTCTCTTGATGCTTTCTGCATTGTTCGATAATTTGCCTATAAATTCTTTAATATTGCAACTTGAGGCATGAATTTTTTTCTTCATTTCTCTCAGCTTGACAAATGCCCAGTGTGTTCTTTTTGGTTTTCTAACTACAGGTCTTTGCACATTTCATTATTACTCATTACTTTGAACTGGAGCTGCCCTTCGAAATCTTCTGTTCAACTCTATTATTTCATCATTTCTTTCATTCACTTTAGTTGTTCTTCATTCAGGACTAAGTTTCACAGTCTTTTCTGATATCCATTTCGGTCTTTCCTTTCTTTCGTATCTTTTTAATGATTTTTTGCTTTCTTCATGTATGATGATCTTTTTTAAAAAAAAAAAAATTACTGTTATTTGAGTGGAAGTGTACAGAGCAAATTTATTTTTCATAACAGCAGTTCACATGCCCTTTGTTTCATGATACTGACTGAAATTTCCCACAGTGCAACAACTCTCTTCTCACTTCTTCCCCATAGTTACCTCTTTCCTGTGTCCTTCCCTCCCATGCACTCCTGCCCCCTGAGCTATCTCCCAGTGCATACACAGCCTTCCTGTTGTCCCATGAGTTATCTCTCCAAGGAGTGTATCTGCCTAATGTAAATGTTCAGCTCATATGCCTGACTATTGTTTGGCTAGAAGCCACAGGAGTGGGTTCAGTTCCAGACCTTAAGGGCAGCTAAGGGCCATAGTCTCTGGATTTCCACAAGGTTCTATGAGACCAGCAAACCTGGTCCCTTTTTTTTTTTTTTTTTTTAATGATTCTGAGTTTTGTTCCACACTGTTCTCCCACTTTATCCAGGATCTCCTACATAGATCCCCTCCGAGTGGTTGATAGTGGTAGTGGTGCACCATCTAGTTCTTCTCGTCTCATAGTCATATAGGCTGAAGATCGCATGGTGTACCGGTCCCTTGGACTAATTGTTTACATGCATCTTTGGTTTTCTTCGTTCTTCTTTGCTCTGGATAAGGAGAGAGCCATCGTTGGATCTGGATGGGTGCTTGCAAGCTTTGAAGATCTCAGTTGCTACTTGCCAAAGTAGGATGTGGAGCAATGTTTTGTGTAGTATGTTATGCCAGTTGAGCTTGATGTCCCCTGCGACCATGGTCCTGAGCCCACAGGTCCAATTACTCATTCTCTCTAAGTAGTTGGCTGTGGCCAAGGAGTGACTACAATCTTGTCCCTTGTCAACTATACTATGTATCTGGAAATTCTTACAGAACATACAGATACACTTATAGAAACATTGCCAGCCCTATACATGGTCATGGACACACTCCCCCCTGCATACACATACCTCATCATTCAGCCTCTCCACCCATCTATCCAACCGAATATCAGTGTTTGCCAACACTGACAAGGCAGTACTGTAGGAGCAAATGGGTTCATCTTTGTTGTCTGTACCTCCCATGGACCTCTCTTTGTCTTCTTCTTCCTCAGTTGATAACTCACATTTGGTACATTGCCCTTCCCTTCACCCAAATCAATACTTGTCTCTACCTATCTAGCAGTGTTCTCTCCCCTTCCCTCCCACCCTGGTACCCAACAAAGAAAATTTCCTTCCATATATAAACCTTTCCTTAACTTTGTACAATAACGGACTAATAAAATATTTGGCTTTCTGTGACTGACTTATTTTACTCAGGATAATGTCCTCAGAGTTCATCCACATTATGCGGTGTTTTGCAGATTCTACATTATTCTTTATTCTTTAGGGTTGCATAGTATTCCACTGTGTGTATGTATCATAGTTTGGTTATCCGTTCTTCTATTGATGGGCACCTAGGTTGTTTCCATCTTTTTGCTATTATAAATAGTGCTGCAGTGAACATGGGTATGCATATATCTGTTCTTGTCCTGGCTCTCACTTCTTTAGGATATATATTTAGTGACAGAATTGCTGGGTCAAGTGGTATTTTTACTTCAAACTTTTTAAGAAATCTCCATACTGCTTTCCACAGTGGTTGTATCATTTGACAATCTCACCAGCAGTGTATGAGAATCACAATATCTCCACGTCCTTGCCTGCATTTCTAATTTTCTGTCTTGTTGAACTTTGCTGTTAGTGCTGGGGTAAGATGGTATCTCATTGTTGTTTTGATTTGCATCTCTCTAGTGGCTACTGATCGTAAACATTTCTTCATGTGTTTGTTGGCTGCCTGAATATCCTCTTTGGTAAAGTGTCTATTCATGTCTTCTGCCCATTTATTAATTGAATTATTTGTCTTTTTTTGTTGAGCTGTTGGAGTTTTCTGTAAATTCTAGAGATAAGTCCTTTGTCAGATATGTCATTGCCAAATACTTTCTCCCAGTCCGCAGAATATCTTTTTGCTCTTTCGGAGAAGTCTTTGGAAGCACGTAAAACTTTAATTTTTAATTAGTCCCATTCATGTAGTTATCTTTGCTGTTTGTGCATTTTGGGTTATGCTTGATAGTCTATTTATGCCATAAATGAGGGCCCCTAAATTTGCCCCTAGTTTTCCTTGAAGAACTTTATAGTTTTAGGTTTCATGTTTTAGTCTTTGATCCATCTAGAGTTAGTTTTTATGTATGGTGTGAGGTACAGATCTTGTTTCATTTTTCTGCAAATGGATATCCAGTTTTGCCAGCACCATTTATTAAACAGACATTCTCTTCCCCGTTTAATGGATTTTGGTGCTTTGTCAAACATCAGCTGACCCGAGGTCAATGGATCTATTTCCAGGTTCTCAATTCTATTCCATTGGTCTATGTGTCTGTTGTAGTACCAATACCAGGAGGTTTGACTATTGTGGCTATATAGTAGGTTTTGAGATCCAGGAGTATGAGACGTCCTGCTTTGTTCTTCTTCAGTATTGCTTTTCCTATCAGATATCTCTTTCCTTTCCAAATAAGTTAGTGATTGGTTTTTCCATGTCCTTAAAGAATGTTGATGGGATCTGGATTAGGATGGTGTTGAATGTGTAGATTGCTTTGGGTAGAATTGACAATTATCACAATATTCAATATTCCTATCCATGAGCATGGTGTGTTCTGTTCTTATATTTATGTAGATCTCTTAAGGTTTCTTGAAGTAGTCTTTTGTAGTTTTCTTTGTACTGGTCTTTTGTATCCCTGGTAAAATTTATTCCCAAGTTTTTTTTTGTTTTTTTTTTTTTTGGTAGCTATTGTAAATGGTATGGATTTCCTTATTTCTTTTTGAGCAATCTTTCTGCTGGTGTAGAGGAATCCAACTGATTTTTGGATGTTGATCTTGTATCCTGCCACTATGCTAAATCTCTCAATTAGTTCCAGTAATTTTTTGACTGAGTCTCTTGGGTTTTCTAGGTATAGGGTCATATCATTAGCAAATAGGTATAGTTTTACTTCTTCCTTACCAATTTGAATGCCTTTGATTTCCCTTTCTTGCTTTATTGCCATGGCTAGGATTCCCAATACAATGTTGAATAGAAGTGGTGATAGAGGGCATCCTTGTCTGGTTCCTGTTCATAGGGGAAAGGTTTTAGTCACTTTCCATTGAGAATAATATTGGCTGATGGTTTTGCATAGATGCCCTTTATTATGTTGAGGAATGTCCCTCGTATTCCTATTTTGCACAGAGTTTTGATCAGGAATTGGTGTTGGATTTTATCAGATGCCTTTTCTGCATCGATTGATATGTTCATGTGGTTCTTTTCCTTTGTTTTATTTATGTGATGGACAATGTT